ACACAACAATATTGATAACTTTGCTTTGTTATAACGACGTTCTACACTAAACTTTAAATTCATACTTCTATTTTAGATTTTTAAGATTTATGGAAAGGACGAAGGTTTAATTCTTTCAGCCAATGAATTTATGAAAATCGATTATTTTTAAATATTTTTCTATCAAATGAAACTCTAATTTTATTTTTTAACATTTTTTTAAAAAATAATTATTTTTTATAAATATTTTTTAAAAATATATAATGATATTATCGTTGATATAAAACAAAAGCATATATTATTATATCGCACTATTAAAAAAACTAAAATAGTAACATATAAAACTTTAAATACTGATTTAAAAATGTTGATGATAATAACTTTATCTCGTTAACTATGGCTGATTCACCTTTTCTTGTTTATGTGGAGAGTCGCAGTCGATGAGGTAATAGTCGTTGGTCAATGTTTTTCAATGGGAGAGATGAAAGTATAAGAGAAAATAAGAGTGAAGAATAAGAAGTGAAGATCCCCCTTTTAGCTTTTTCTCGGTATGAATACCTCGACTATAAGACGGTTGATGTCAAATCTATGATGACGATGATTTTATGTAGGCTGACTTAAACTAAATGGTTATGGTTGTTGGAGCATGTTTGACTTTGATAAATCATGTGAGACTGTTGAAGGTCTAATCATGGGATTGTAGTCATCCGAGGAGTATGTGACTCTGGATGAATCTCTGGAGGTATAACACTTGTTACCCTTGATCGAGGGAATACCGTAAAGTGACTTGATTTAAGACCATCTTTCAATTTTGTTAAATAGTGGAGGCATCATAACACTCTCATTCTCAGGATAAATAAGATTCATTTTCTTTTTTAAAGAACTCGATTGATAGGTCGAATCATCTTTGCATTGACAAAGGCATCTCAATGCTCATGCTCAAGCAGAGGATAATAGCTCTGTGTGGGACAGTAAATGATATGTCTTAATCTCAACACCTTATAATGACAGTGGATAATTTTCTACTACCGGATCGAAGACATCTCGACTCTCTTAATTAGAGGTGAGGCAATTCAATATTTTTCAGAAAAATCTAGAATAGGCATCTTTACACCAATAAAAGAGGTATGAACATCTAAATGCTTTGCGGAAGCGGAAGATAATAATCTTTATTTAGTAGAGGAGTTATAACTTTTTCAAAAGACGTTTCCGGAGGCATAAGCTCACTTAGATGATAGACTCTTGCAAAGAATGATTTTCTTATAAAGAACAACATCTCACGTCGAGGATAACTTCTTTCATAGAGGATAATATTTCACGCAAATAATGAATTTTTCGTAGAGGATGACTTCTGTCATGGAGGATAACATCTCACGTGGAGGATGATTTCTCTCGTGAAGGATAAGGAGGATGATGTTCGCATCTCAATGCTGCAGAGAAAGGGGTATGTTGTCAACGCTTATGATGTAAATGATCTCTACATTCTTATGAACTTGTATCCAAATTTTAGATCTGGGTGAAATTATCTCTACACTCAAATATACCCCACGAAAGATTATTAATGCTTAAATGGTATAGTAAAAAGATTGATGTTATCTCAACAATATATTTTTAAAAGGTTGTTATAACACTCCTTTTCTTTCTTTTGATTTTCATCAAAATTTCTACACCTATTTTATTCACTAATTTCTTTAAATTCTTTTCAACTGTATATCGTTTGATAGCTAAATAATCTTCTATATATTTTAAGAACTTCCAAACACTTTATTCTCTAAAAAATAAGAGTGCAATCGCACGCCATACGTCTAATAGACCACTTAGTTCGGGTGAGATACAAGCTCTCAATCATATAACCAAACATAAATTTATAAAATGAAGTTCTAGTTATCACGATAACGATATAAAAATTGTAATTGTTAAAATTGTACCTCTAATCTTATTTTCTACTCGATCAACAACCTGCTATCTTGGAACTCATCCATAATCTAACAACTTAAATTTGTTGAACACCTATTTAACATGAAAAAAAAACACATAATCTCTAACGAAAAATTATCATTTGAATAATTGTTTATTTTCATGTCAAATAAGAAATGAAATTACCTAAGTACGAGAGGGAAGACAAATGGCTTATCAACACGTGGACATAAGAAAAGGCACTCGATACCACATCCAAGGCCACAAAAGCAGTAAGCATCCACCAATAGCATTTTTTCTCAGGCTGCTTGCTTTATACGATTTTCTACAGAAAAATTTCAAAATCACTGATCTCGATTTGAATGCTCATACTTCTCTAAAATCTATGAGGTGGCACACCCACATTGCATGAACTTGTTTACAAAATTTTTTGGATATAAAAATCCTTCCTATAATCCGTAAAATAGAAGCATGTGTGAATGCTTGTGCCTTATCTCCATAACAATATTCATCCAAACTCTTTAAATTTTCGTTGGAGCGATGTTAATAGGATTCAACCACCATTGAATTGATTTGAGACATTCCCAAGATAGTTGTAGCACAAAATATCTCAATTATCAACACTTATACCAGTCACAATGCTTCCATCAACTGAGAGTCTTGATTGGAGTAAAACATCATCCGAAGTGATAGTGCACTCCTCACATGGAAGATGAAATATGTATCTTTGGTCTCTACCTTTCAATTAGTGCAAAAATTAGTGTTGGTAGTAATTTACAACGTTAGAGCACTCAATAAATATATTCAAATATGGTTTGACTTAAGTGTCTCACATTGTGATTAGAAGAAGATTTTTCACGTTGTGAATAAATACTTCAAGAATGCGATTTTTAGAATAAATTTATTCAAAAATAATATTAAATAATAAATAATAAAGTTTAATTAATAAAACTAATAATTTCTTATCACATGTGATTAATGAGTCGTAATGTATTTTGTATTTAATCTAAATATTTCAATTTTTAACTGGAAAATATATAAAAAATGATTACTAAAAAAATATTCAAAATACTATATATGAATTAAATATATATCAACTAGCTAATTAAAATAATTAAATAACTAACACTAGATAAAACATTATCAAAGCTTTCTAGAAACTCAAATGATATCTCAACCCTCTTTCATATACATTAAAATGTATACAAACGAAGAGGGGGAGGTGGAGAGGCGTGAAAGGCGAGTGAGTGAGGAAACGCTTTTCATATCTCGTTTTTTAAAAATAATTTAACATTCTTTGAGATATATATATATATATATTTGTAGAAAGTATCTTTTAAAAGGATTACTGACTAGTCTACCATGCAAGAAAAATTCTAGTTATATGGAAAACACCTTCCAAAGACGTTTATGATGGGGATCATCTTTCAAATACGCTTTTGACAGTTAACGTTTTCTATATACATGATCTAAAATAAAATTATAAATGATTAATAAAATATATGCTAATTTTTTAATGTATGATATTTAATTCGAGCCAAATTTAGATTCTATATATTTTCAAAAAAATACTTTTTACTCATATAAAATATTTAATTTATTATTTTGTATTTCTTATAAATAATATGAATGCCTAGTACAGAATATAAATAAATAATTATTATAAAATTTAACCTTTTGTTTTATTAAGTAAAATTTCATGTAAAATTATTTATTAACAAAAACAATTATTTGTTAACAATTAATTAAAATTTAAAAATAATGAATATTTAAAACTTTAATTAATTAATAGAGCTTGGCGTTGATGAGTAGATCAAAGACTCGTAAACTGATATTTTCTTAAGCATTAACAAAAGGCGGCTTTATAGACGTAAAAATTTATATTAGGAGATACAAATTTAAGAAATTTATTAAAAAAATTAAGGAGTGTGAAATCATAAAATTTCAATAAATGAAAAATTAAATAATTTAAATAAAAAAAAATTCTTAAAGTTACGACTGTACCCCCTCAATCCATCCCTATCTTCGGGGACACCTCATTATTAGAGGAAAAAGATATTCCGCGTATTTTCTTACAAAACTTTTACATTACATCATAGTCAAACAAACCCCACGTTACATTTTGTTCATTTATCAGTGGGCCCTATGCTGACATTACCCTCAGTAGTATTTCCTTTTCAAATATAGAAAAATACTTTCCATTCAACCCAAGCCGCTCTCATATGACATGGTTCATATTAAATTTTAACGTCTTTGTTCCCATTATCCGACACTTCACAAAATTACAACGACACCCCTCAATCCTATACGTGTTTTTCAAAATCCTTATTTAAGAAAAAAAAAACCCCACTTTCTAAAGGGTAAATATAGAAATGATTCTTTAATATTATTGTTTTGTTAAATCTACGTCAATTAAAAATTATAAAATAATTTTTATTTATAGAACATTGTTTTATTGAATTATTATTATTAAAGTTATAAAATGATTATTTAATTATTTATATATTTTAAACTCGTTATTTTTGTAAAAAAATTGACGATCATCTAATCTAATTTAAACGTTAACATACTGACTGTCATATAATAAATCATATTTTAATAATATTTATTGACAATGACGTTGCTTTCAAGCACTGACTATATGACATTATATTTCAAGCATTAGTTTGATGACATAATGTAAGCGGAAAATAAATCGACAAAATACAATTCAAATGATTTTGAGATAAAATTTTATCGTATCCTAATTAATAGGTTGAGATTCAGCTCAAATGACCACTAATTTTTTAGCAAAAATAAACAAATTGAAAATATTAAAATAATCAAATAATTATTTTATAATTTTTAATAATTATTAACTCAATAAAATAATATTCTATAATCAAAAAATTATTTTATAACTTTTAATAGTTAGAATTCAACAAAAATAACATCATAGGGGGAAACCATTTGCTTACTTTATTTTTTTTAACTTGTTTGCTTTTAGAGTATATGAAACGTTAATAGTTTTTGTTTTCGTCTTGTTGGTTCTGTAATATTTTTTGTTTGTTTGATAAATATAAGAAGTGTATAAAATGGCTCGACTTGTAAACTTGTAACAGAAGAGTTGGCTGGTTAGGCAGTCTTCTTGCTTTCAAGGACTATTTCTTCCTAATTTTCTCTCTTGTTTAAATATATATATATATATATATATATATCGTATTTTCTTGGTCTTGGTCTTATTTTTTTTCCCTGTAACTCCTAAAAATAACCATTTCTCTTTAATAGCTTTTCATCTCTGGCGTCTTGTTTTCAGTTGAAGTTTTCACATTTTCTTTCGGTGGCGATGGAGGAGAGATACGAGCCATTGAAGGAGCTTGGATCGGGGAATTTTGGAGTCGCAAGGCTTGTGAAAGATAAGAAAACAAAGGAGCTTGTCGCGGTCAAATATATTGAAAGAGGAAAGAAGGTAATCTTATTCTTAATTTTTATCTGAATTGACAGCAATTATAGGAGCATATAATCTAGGTAAATTTTATGTCTGATGATCGGTTTTTGACATGGAAGATTGTTTATCTTTGATTTTGAACATGGCTGACCACTTGCTTGCATATATTACAATGAGAGATTTACAGTTTATAGATGTGGTTTGCTAATTGGTCAACTTCTGGTCTTTCAGAGAAAGTTGTTTTGATTTTCCATGTCTGAAGATTGGTTAAATCAGGCTTGTTGATCTCTCTGCTTGAGCTACGAAACTTTGCACTTATAATATTCTAATAATGTGCCATAATCACATGGTGAAAGTGAAGTTATTCTTGTGAAGAAAGATGGATTGTTGAAAATTGTCAAGCTACATAAATTTACTTTTTTTTGCTTATAAATCTACTAATAATGTTTTACCGAAAAGGCGATGACATTGCATGTCTAAAGGTGCAACTTTTTAACAAGCTTTATTTTCAGTTTTGCATTTGTCAGTGTCATTCCTGTGGGAACAGTTTTTCTGATGGGGAATATGTAAACTTGAAGGGGTGTAAGATGGTTTGTGTTTTAGAATCTCTACATTTAGTTGTAGATGAAAAGAACTGAGATGAATTATCGTTGAAAGGAATTTCAAGTTCCTCAAGTTCATAAGGTGAACTATGTTACTTGAATTAGCTGGGATAAGGGTATTTTCCGCTTTTTTTCAAGGTTTCCCATGTACTTAGAGGGCATATCATCACGTTCATGTCCAATATGCCTCGGAGATCGGTACTTCAAGCAAAATGAGAGCAATATATGGTGAATGTCCTTGGGTCCAAGTCCATGATATTTCATATTCTTCTTGACATGATTTATGATGTTTTACTCTTCCCATCTGATGCTGCCTTTCTTTCTTTCGCAGTTTTCCTCAATGGTCGTGGTGCTTGTCTTTTCGGTTTTCTATGTGTGAAACAGTGTTGCCTTTTGAATGTATTTGAATCTCATTTTCACAGTACATATAAATGTACCGTTTCTGTTTTCCGATTTCAGATTGATGAAAATGTTCAGAGGGAAATCATTAACCACCGATCTTTAAGACATCCAAACATAATCAGGTTTAAAGAGGTGAGAAATTTATTTTATTAAATGTTATAGCTATACTGATGGAATTTTGGGTTCGAACATTTTATGCTTAGCTTTATACTACACATTTTCTGCAGGTTTTGGTGACTCCAACACATTTAGCTATCGTTATGGAGTATGCTTCCGGAGGTGAACTCTTCGAGAGAATATGCAGCGCTGGTCGATTTAGCGAAGACGAAGTGAGTTTCTATACACATTCAATTAAATGGGCTAATCTTTCTTCCTCACCTGTCTTGGAATTATTTTGAATTCATGTTTACTTACGATATTTTGTTTGTCGAAAGGCAAGGTTTTTCTTCCAGCAGTTAATATCTGGAGTCAGCTACTGTCATTCAATGGTAAGTTATGAAAACAAAAGTAACCTTTTCGGATTATGGTGACTTTCATGTCTCATTCTATAGTTCTCTCGCAGCAAATTTGTCACAGGGATCTGAAACTAGAAAACACACTCCTGGATGGAAGTCCGACACCACGACTTAAAATATGTGACTTCGGATACTCCAAGGTTCATTCCCAAATTCGAAATAAACCCTATCTTTGATGGACTCTACTATTCTTGCTCTATTTTTCAATATTCAGTTCTCTATTTTCTTTACTGAACAGTCTGCAGTGCTGCATTCACAACCAAAATCAACTGTTGGAACACCCGCGTATATTGCCCCTGAAGTCCTATCACGAAAGGAATACGACGGAAAGGTATATATTTTCTGTTTTCTGATCAAATGTAACACGGATAATCTCTTCCTTATTATTTGGTTAATTGGATCATTTGCTAGCTGTTATAGATTGCAGATGTTTGGTCCTGTGGTGTGACATTATACGTAATGTTGGTTGGATCATACCCTTTTGAAGATCCTGATGATCCTCGGAATTTCCGTAAGACCATTGGCGTAAGTTCTCAAATCTGGCCCTGACATGAGTTATCATTTCCATTTTTCTTGATGTGAAGTTGAATTATTTTTGTTGTAACAGAGAATAATGAGTGTTCAATACACCATACCCGATTATGTACGGGTGTCTGCGGATTGCCAACATCTTCTTTCCCGTGTCTTCGTTGCCAATCCTGCCAAGGTATCATTTCTTTTTCTTATTTGTAAACTTCGTGGTTCAACAAAAACCTTTGTTGCATCTAATTTAAATGATATACACACTTCGATTACATAAAGAGGATTAGCATCCCGGAGATTAAGCAGCATCCTTGGTTTCTGAAAAATTTACCAAAAGAACTGGTTGAAATCGAAACAAAAAACTTTGCGGAATCAGATCGTGACCAACCGTCTCAAAGCGTAGAAGAAATAATGCGTATCATACAAGAGGCAAAGATAACAACAGCAGAAGGGCCCAAAGTTGGCGAACAAGCTGTTGCTGGTACCTCCGATCCTGATGATGCTGAAGGGGATTTAGAATCTGAAATCGATGTCAGTGGTGACTTTGATGCCACTGTGTGAGAACATGATGTTTAAGTTGTTGAAGAAGATTTGGTCTGTAGTTTCTTTGGGATTACAGTTTAGGTATGCGTTTTTATAATACTGGAAAATGATGTACGGCATACTTGCACTGGATGGGTGTCGCATTGCCTTCGTGTGTGTGCAATATGGTTAATGGATGTCCCCTATTGTAGATTGCATACTTTGTGAAACATCTTTCAGATCTTGTATTGTTTTGCATTACTTTGGATGCTAACAATATTACAGTCGGATTTTGTAATCAATCCAGTTGCTTATCCAATATGCAACCTTCTAACACAGGGCATTACCAGTTCTCTCTCTCTTTTTCCTTTCTTCTAGTCGAACAACATCGTCGTAAGTCGACTAACAGCCTTTTCCATCTGCTATAAAATATAAAACCCCACAATCACAGGCTACGTGATAAGTATCAAAAGAGGATAATAGTTCAGAGCTCCATTCGAGAAGGCGAGTCATTCATAATAGTACTTACAAGCTTCCTTTGCAGGCATAAGACACTGATTAACAAAATAACCAAATTAATATTCTCAAGAAAATCAAGGTTTGAGCAATTGACTAGCTTATGCTATAGATCAACTAATTAACTTTGCTAGCATTGAGAAATTCATTAGAACACTAGAGCCTTCTCTTCCTCAATCTCTCTGATATGGCAAAGGCTAGTTCTAATGACTGGGACGCATTTAACCTGGGGTCAAAATGTGTGTGATACCGAGAGTTCAAGTCGTCGAAAGTCACAGTATTTGACCCTCCAATGCATTCTGTAACATTCTGTCCCGTCATTTCCAGATGAACACCACCTGGATAGCTCCCTTCTTGTTCGTGAACATCAAAGAATGCCCTCAACTCAGCCTGAGGGCAACGTAAAAAAAGGACAAAAACATGTCTCATTCAGCTTCGTCATGTTCCAAAAAATGTTTGCAAAAGATGCAAGTTTAAGAGTTCTTACCCTGATTGCATCAAACGGACGAGTTTTGAGACCACACGGAGCTTTAATTGTGTTTCCATGCATGGGATCACCGACCAGGTAACAATAAGCCCAGCCTGGCGGACAGCCCTAATAAGATGTGGGAGCTTTATCCGCATGTTATCAGCTCACATTCGGGTGATTATTGTCAGTCTTCCGGGTTTGTTCTGAGGGTTAAGAATCTCACACAATTTGACAAGTTCCTTTGGGTCCATCTTATCACTCACCTACATCATGCATGGACATATCAGCAACCAAAAAGTATTATTCCAACATAAGTAAAACTATGTCAATCTCTTTCTCCCTCCACTCACTGATTAGAAAAAATGGAAAATGAAAAAAAAAAAGCCAAGGTTAGGCGTTCCGAAAATAAAAAATGATGTGCACTTGGGCTTCACCTAGTCAAATCAACTAAACGACTTCAAAAATTAGAATAATGAAATCCTCAACTTGTTCACAGAATTTTTCAAGGTTTGACATCTTGACACCATAAATTAGAAAGTTAGAAACTATGTGAAACTAGAGTTGCACAGTTCCATAATCAAACAGGACCAATCGGCATATTCAATCAATACAAAGCGAAGCGCCAAATTCATGAAAGCCCCCAAGAGTTCAAATTCATGAACTAATTCTTAATAGTACACAGAAAGGAAATAATATTTCACCAAGAAGATCCAGAAAAAGGGTTAATGCCACAATGAGTCTCAAAAACAGCAAGATCCATAAAATTGTTATGCATGAATAAGATCAAGTATTTCATGCATAGATGGCATACTTACTGATCATGCTGAGTACCACATGCTTATTACCTTCAATTAACATATGGTTCACTAATAGAACCAAATTTCATTGTTACATGACAACAAATTCCATTTTAATATAAAGGAAGCAAAAGTATCTAAGCAAAGATTATAAACAATTGGAAATGCCTTTCAGGCTCCAAACATGTACCTTTATGCCAAGAGGATTCAATATGCCTCGAAGAAACTCAACATGTGCTCCATCCAACTGCCGATCCTCTCACCTACCCAAAGCAAGTGAGCAGAACAGTCATAATAGAGGCTAGTAGTAGAATCCTCTCTGGTCAAGGCTTTCTCATATGGTAAATGGAGGCATTCATGGGATGTCCAAAAATCAACTGTGTTCATTTGAGGGTCGTCAATGGCTATCCCCGCTGCAGCCATGAATCCCAAAGCTTCATCAACTCTCTGAGCAAGCTCCATGTACCTAATAACAAATCAAAAGTCAGATTCCTGAAGAAAACGGCAAGTGAAAAACATAAAAACTTAAATATAACACTAAAACCCAGAAAGTTCAAGAATTTTACCTGTCTCCTTGTTCACTATGCTTAACAAAATCGAGATTCCACTGTGAAACTCTTTGCATAGCAGCATAACCACCGGTAGCAAATGCTCTAAGGAGATTCAACGTACCAACAGATTGAAGATAAGCTCTAATCAATCTTTGAGGGTCAGGCACTCAAGATTTTTCATCAAAAGCATCACCATTTACATTATCTCCTCGATAACTCGGCAACTTAACACCGTCTTTAATCTCAAATGGGTCTGACATTGGCTTTGCAAATTGCCCCGCCATCCTACCTACCTGCAAAAACAAATTAAAGTTTTTTTTATACTCGTCTTAAAATGGGTCAAGATTAGATGGACAAAAATAGGATTTTGTTTGAATAAACAGCCAGTGATGACGGGCATTTGGGCACCAAAAGTGAGGACAATGCCCATCTGCAAAAGGACTCTGAAAGTGTCTCTAATGTTGGTCCCATTGAATTCTTTGAAACTCTCAGCACAGTCACCGCCCTGTAACAGAAACGCTTTCCCAACGGCTGCATTGGATAGCTTTTCCTCGAGCTTTCTTGCCTCCCCGGCGAACACAATTGGCGGGAAGGACCCGATTGTTTTGAGTACCGAGTCGCGCTCAACCGCGTCAGGATATTCAGGAAGTTGGTGGGCCGTTTTTGACATCCAGGAATTGAGAGACCACTGGGTTTGACCGGTGGAAGGAGAAGAGGAGGCGGAAACGGAAGCGACAATGGCGGCATTGGGTCTTCTGTTGACGTGGAAAGAAAGGAATGGAGGAGAAAGAGGGAGGCGGGTGGTAGTACCGAGAAGAGAGGATTTTGGGTTGGTGAGATTAGCGGAGCCAGAGAATGCGACGGCCATGCTTCTCAATGTTGATTGCCGGAGCAGAATTAGAGATAAGGGAATGGTGTTAGGATGAAGATTCTTATAATGGATTCGAGGTAAATTACCTTTTCTCTCGGTTCAATATATTTTCGATTTTATATAATAACACGTTCAATTAAATAAATTTTAATTAAAAATAATTTAATAAATTTAGCTTTTAATATTTATAAATGATTTTTTATTATAGTTATAAATAATTTAATAAATTTAATCATTTAGTAAAAATATCAAAATGTGTCATTTTTATATAAATAGATTTGAGAGTAAAGTTGAAACTTGACGAACAATGCTTAAAAACACATCAAGTTAAATAAATTATGGCTTCAGAAAAACACAATAAAAGAAAATAATTACATGACATAAAAAAAATATTCTAGAATAAATATCACATACCGAAATATACTACTAATATGATATATCGAAATAAATCACTAAATAAATCGTTCTTATTAAGAAAATATTAAAAAATTCAAAGATTCTTCCATGATTAATCCTTTTATAAAAAATTTAATTCTAATACAATTGTACATTTATTTATTTTATTGAAAAACATAATTAATATAAAACTTTAATTTTGCTTTAAAAGTAAACTAAAAATCAAGCTTCTCCCATCGCCGATTGTAATAGTCTCAAAATGTATAGGCAGCAACCCTTTGTTTACCGGAAAATTAAACTGGATTTTTCAACAAACAAAGGGTCGCCGACTGTAGATTTCTGACAAAATTAGCTTATCGCACATCCTTTATAAGTTATATTAATAAATTATTACATTCAAAAGATTAATTTAATTTTCCGAAATGAAATTCTAATGGGTAATGATAACAATAATTGTGAAAAGACTGATAGAAAACTCAAATAAACATCTCAGGCTACGACGACCATGACCAAATGCTCACCAATAATTTAAATATCTTTCCCCTGTGATACAATGAAATAAAAAAAGTATTGGTGAAATTTTTGAACTTGTTTTTGACTAAACATGATGGGTTACAACAAGGTTGGATACTTGGCATCAAGGAAATCTCTTAGACTCTGGGCAGCTTTTCGTCCACCCATTAGTTCAGCTAGCTTCTCTATAGGAACGACTGCAAGTTCAGCCAAGCTTTTACATCCATCCATTATCGTCCTGTAGTTCGAATCTGTAACTCCTGGGAGTCTTCTCAGAAACTCAACAGCAGATGTATTGTAGTTTTCACCTCTGTTACAGGGGAACTCGGTAAGTTTCTTATACTGGAAGATGAATTAAATCCAGATAAAGTGTAAAGAAAAAAAAAGACCATCAGCTCACCTAACATCATTTTCTATGATACCCTCTTCCGAGGGTACACCAACTCTCATGGCCTTTGTCACGTCAGGTTCATCCTGATTCGCCTTGAGTGAAGCAAATATTTCGGCAGTTGCATGCAAGCTGCGAGACCATATGATTCGTAGGCGTGGGAAATGCAGAACAAGCAATGACAGTTTGGATATTATATTAGTTGGTGTTACATCATCACCTATATCACTTGCAGACTGCATATACCAAAATCCAATAAACATTAAAGGGAAATCCCCTGGCTTTCTTTTTATCATATAGCCATTGCAGAAGATTTAATTCAGATACCTGAAATGAAAAGCTTTTGTCCTGTGAAAACTCAATTAGAAGCACAGGTATTCGGTAATAACGAACAATTGTTTCCACTTGGTGGTAAAGACGGCCTGATGTGAAACTCATAAAAAGATCTTGAATGCTTTTCCTCTCGACACAAATAAGTGGTGAGAGAACATAATCACCGACTTCTAAGGTTACTGGAATTATATGCATGCCCTTCTGGTGAAGGACATTCGGAAGACTACTCATGAACTCCCTCATGTCCACTATTACCTGCAGATAAAGTGAATCCGAATTCAACAAATTTTCAAGCAAGCAAACAAGAAAAAAGTACCTTCATTTAATTCAATTATGACAAGGTGTACTTAGGAGAGGAAAAACCATCCACCTGCATTTCCTTCTCAGCATCCTTTCTTCCACCAGCCTTTCTGGTGATTGAGTTCTGAGAACTTGACCCTTGTAACTCAGATGAAGAATTTACACCAAGGCACAAATCATTCTGAATAAAATAGGGAAAGCATGCAAGGCAGAAAAATGAGTTATCACTATTTAACCCAAATATATATATATATATATATATATAAACTTAAATTGTAAGCTAAATATTTCAGTAATTATCCGTTAGTTCTACATATAGCATTCTAAAGTTTATCAATGGCTGATCATTCAAAATGAATGCATGTCAAAATAGGCCCCACTATCGGTGACAGAAATACATAAATATAAAAAATCCATACCTGATCAACTGGGATCATCATCATTGATTTCTGCCTGATCAAAGATTCAAATGCTCCATTTTCTCTACGGATGCTTGCTTCAAACTTTTGGACTTCAGTAGAAGCATCATAGAATAGAAAATAGACCTTCACCTTTTTCCTAGGATTCTCTGCTTTGTAGACTTCAATCTCCCTAACAAAAGTCATATCTGGATGGTAAACAATTATTACATGTGGCTTCAAAACATCTAGTATAGGCTGTTTTCTCTCCAGAGCATGAAAGTGAACTGGTGGTAATTGCTTAGTGTTGTCCGTTTTTGTATCATCAATCCTGTCAATATGCTTTCCAGGGATCCCATTGCCAATAACTGGAGGGTTTATTTCATTTAGCTGGCCTTCATTTTCTGAACCATGAATTTCAGGTCTATCATCTTTTGCTACCTCAGTATCATTGAAGGCGTCGTTATTCCTAGAATGCTTTTTACACGCAGCGCCTTTTTTAGTCCTTCCTCTTCCCTTTCCTTTCCCATTGCCGTGGCTGCCAACTTGAGGTTCAGGATCTTCAGCAGCATCCTTTTCCATCTTAACCTGGTTTCTTTTTATCTCTGCTGCTGCTGCTAATAATGCTTCATGTTCCTGCTTGCATGCACTGCTAACTTCTGCATTCTGGGCAGGTGTTAACGGAACAACACCATCAAGAATCCCATAACCTTTAGGACCTTTAGGTTTTTTCTTCTGAGGCACTTGCATCCCCCGCAGTTCTACTTTGCTTAAGAGGTACTTCTGCCATTCATCCCTCATGACCTTCAAAAGAAAATATCCGCTATCAATTCTAACTAGCAAATGTGAAAACCTTATTGGTCTTTCTGTAAGCTTAGATACTCAAGCTGGAATAGCATCAAAGGTTATACCACTGTACCATTCAACAAAAAACAATACACTATATGAAAAATGTGATTTTTGGAAGTACAAGAAGTAAACCCCCACCTTCCCCTCCCCTCCAACTCAATATATATATATATATGTTTGTGTGTGTTAAAGTTTCTATCTGCCAAAGTGCAATTCTAGCCTTAAATAAGTTCCAGAATAATTTTATATGAATTTACTAAAAAATAATAAAACCTTCTGTGCACCGTTAGTGATGCAATCTTCAAGTTGCATGCATAAGCGTTCATCTTTGCATGCCACTAAAATAATGCCATTATTCTCCTCCTCAACATCCAACAATGCTTCTCCCGACGATGCTTGCTTCTGTCTTTCCTCTTCTATCTCTCCAAGGATCTCCTATAATAAAATATTTAAATTATATAAGAGAACAGAAAAGAAGAGTATCATCCCAGATTGAAGTGACTGGAGAAAGCATATGACACACAGATAATGGAACTCACTCACACGTAACACCTTCCACTTCGGAGACTCTTCCAAAACTTCTTGAAGAACAAGTCTATTATTTGTACTTGTTGATGAAGTACCAGCGATTGCTACATGTACAATTCAGTGAGAAGGGCTTACAGAATCAAAAAGCTTCAAGTGCAGCTTTTGTTTTTGGTATAACATGGTTAGAATTTTGAAATGAAAACCACATTAATGAAAACAGAAGAATGAATTCAATTGACCTGCATCATTATTATTGTCATCCTCATTCAATTTTCTCTTTTTTCCAGACACGTTCTTACTAGGCTTATTACTTTTGGTATCACCTGACCTTGCAAACAGATAGACTCGCTTTTTTGCATAGTCGAAGATCTTATAACTGGACTCTGCAAATATCCAAACGGATCGAAAACTCTCCGACACTCTAAGTGTATCCAAATACTTCAAATAACTCACTGCATCATACCTACCCACATAAATATATAAGAAATTAAATCCCAAATTCATAAACAAAATCCTTCAGTTATCAACTCAAATGCATTACAAAATCACAATTAACATGAATTTGGATAAATAAAGAAAGGGATCTTTTGTTTAGTACCTAACAAGATAATCCAACAACTTCCTCAAAGTTCTCAAATCCGAAACGAGCTGCTTCGTCTTCTTCCCCAAAGTATGCCAAATGGGATCCAATTGCCTCCTAACGATCTCATCAAACGACTTAAACAACCCATTCTCCACCGTCAGATCCTCCACATCAACCTTATTAGTCTTCCTCATTTCCTTCAAACAAGCATCCATGACTTCCACAATGGCCTTTTGAATCCCCACCATGTATTTACTCATCGGCACCCGTATATCCACCACTTCCGGCGGATACCTCTCCAATTCCTCCGACACATTCACTTGAAACCTCGGCCAAAGATGAAGCTTCTTGATGAACAAACTTTTCATTGTCCTCTCCGTCTTCGCGAACCCAGAAACCATAGAGTGGGGCTTTTCGGAGAACGCGTAAACGGAGACATTCTTATTGAAAGTCTTGATGATCCTCACAATGAAAGACTCAGTCGAGCTTTCCGAGAGCGAATGCGCGTTCAGAAAAATGATACCGGAGATTAAGGAAGTTTGTGCCTTTTGGGTTAAGAGGTCGACGATGAGGATACGAGGGGAGAGGAGGATGATGCGGTTGGAGGAGTAGAGGGAGAGACGGTTAGAGGAAGGGAGGTCGGCGGTTATTTCGGAGAGAGGGAGGTCCGGGGAAAGGGAAAGGAGGAGGGATTTGAGGGAGGAGGAGAGTTGAGGGGGTTGGAGGAGGAGGAGGGAGCCGTTGGATTGGGAGTGAAAAGAGAGGAAACAAGAGAGGAGTTTCGGGAGGGAAAGGCCGGAGGAGAGGACAACGAGGCCGCCGTTTGGGTCTTCGACGAGATCGGAGACTATTTGTTCGTGGAATTTTAGGACCATTTTTCAGGTCTAGGGTTTGGCGGCAAGACGACCGCAATGGTCAGAGAGGACAATTTGGGGTTTTAATTTGCACTTTGGATAAGTAACACTGTTCATGTTAGGGATAAATATTCTATCGAATTAAAAAGTCAAAAACAAGTTCGAATTATTAAAATTTACATATTTATTTTATAATGCAAACGTTATTTTTAATTCCTTTTAATTGACTTTGTGAAATACGACTTGTTTAAATTTAAGAGTAAATTACAAAATTAATTATTTTTATTTTACTTTTGTATATTTTTCTCGTTAAATTTAAAAAATATAATATTCAGAAAGTTTTATTTTTATTTAATTAAAATATGATTATTAAGATTAACTATGGTTAGACTTTTAAAAGATTGTTAACGTAAATATATAAAATTAAAAAAGATAAATTATACAAATAGTCACCAATATTTAAATAAATTATCGTTTTTACTATTAAAATTTAAAAAATAACAAATTGATCAAGACCATTTTATAAACATATATCCGAGAATGATCCGAACTAATTCAGAACCCCACCGACACAAAATGAAGCAGTCTAAGAATTTCCGGTGGTACATACACGTATATGTGACAAAAAGACAACCAGGTTTAGAGTATTTTCTTTGTATTAAGTTTGTGTTGTATGTATCGATGAACAACGAATGTAGGCCATACTATCGGTCCAAGAGCATCACTATTTCAGTGTGGAGTATGTGGGAAAAGATCAACAACCATTGCTTTTACAGGTTGGAAAGACTCTGAAATAGGCCATACCAAGTTTGACTTTTGTAAACGTAGACTTCCCATCACCCCTGTTAAATGCTGCTACTAAGTTCACACGAAATGCTTCGACTGCTGCTCTTTGTGCTGGAGAGATTTCACATCGATTCAGTCAATTTTTTAACATATACTAGTAAATCAAATTTTTTTATTTTTGAAATTTTAGTGAAAATATAAAAATTTACTCAAATATTAGTTACTATTTCTATAGCTTATCTTTTTTAATTTTATGCCTGCATTGATATTCCGTTAAAACTCTAATGGTAGTTAACTCTCAGTGATCACATTTTAATTAAATAAAAAATAAAGTACTCAAATATTATATTTTTTGAATTTAGCGAGGAAAAATATACAAAACTTAAATAAAAGTAATCAATCTTGTAGTTTATCTTAAATTTAATTATAAATATTTATAATATTACTGTATTAATTTATTCTAATTTAAATGATTTTTTATAACCATATATAATATACATATGTATTTCTTAATATATATATATATATATATATATATATATATATATATATATATATATGTATATTATAGTATTGAGGGACTCACTTAAATTTAAAAATTAATTCATTAATTATTCAAGTTTTATTTTATAATTCAATTTTTTTTCAAATCGAGCTTATTTAAAATCGAATTAAATCAAAAATATGATTTCTTCAAATCCAGTTTAATTTTGATCACTCACAAAATCAAAAGCTATGACTATGAAATGTCGACGTTTGGGCTGAATTTAAACTACGTCTAATTCTGCCCCAATCCCCTACATTTTGAGACTTTTTGACATTTAGACCAACCTCTTCTAGTTCGAGGAATTAAATCCTTCTACTTGCCTGATTTAAAAATTAACGCCAAACCGATAACATTTTTAACTGGCTTTTGTTGAATTCATTGTATGTGTTCTCAAATCGACTTTAATTTTTAAATCAGACCTTAAAATGGCATAATATTCAAATTTAACGAGTAGTGTTATCAAATTGGGATTGGGACTAAATTCAGTCGAATGAATCACTTTCTAGAGAAAGTCCTGGGTTAGACCAGTTACGCTTTTAAATTGTATGTAAGTTGTCAATTAGTAAAAAAACATATAATACATTGTAATCACGCCGGATTATTAAAAAAATATAACAAAAGTAGGGCATATTTAAACACTATACATAGCCATAACCATTGAAAGAAGACGATCCAAGTTTTACTCCCCCCCCCCCCTATTCTTAATGCAAACTTAGCTTAATTATCAAGAACAACAAAATGGCCAGCGCCTTCATGTTACTGTTTGAAGGAGGCAAGAAAAGGCAAATATGAATAATAAATATTATAGTGTAGGAACAAGAAAATACAAGTGTATCCCAGTCTTCACTCTGATTTCACATTTGTGTCAACATCTCCAAGACTCTTCTTCATTCTTCGCATAACCAAGGGAACAGGCTTTTGCAACACAGACACGTTAATGTTGTTCCAAATATCGGATTTCGCAGGAAGTTGAGCGATTTTCTCCGCAATCTCCATGTCTTCCGGAAGAACGGAACCGAATACGGTATACGAGTTCTTCCATTCTTCGTGGTTCGCTAGGCTTATAAAGAACTCTGGACCAGAGCCAACCCAGGCAACTGATCCCCTTCTTATGGTAGGGCAAGCCTCTGCTGGAATCTTTTTGAATGGGGTTCCTAAAGCTTCAAGAGTTCCTTGAATCAGTGCAAATGGAGGGCCGTAAGGAGCCTGTAAAGATGAGAGAAAACTTCGGATTAGAAACATATCGATCTTCAATATCTGGAAGCTTTTGCTATGAATAATTTCCATACATCTTTTATGTGATTTCCTTGTCTATCCCAAGACTGTCCTCGGCTTTCTGCGCGATATATTTGACAACCCGCACAATGGCGCAAATTCAACAACTCAAGAATGTAGGTCACAGAATGTGGAGCACAGTCCGGGAAAAGCTGCATCAAAAAAGAATAATTAGTGACTGCAAGGATCTTTTCTTTTCTCTGAGATGCTCTCCATTTATATTTGTATCTCTTATATATAACTCCAAACCTTGTTTCGAAAAGGTCGTATTAAGCCAGTGACTTCACAACAAGAATCATCTTCATTGTAAATTGAACATGTCAACCTTAAAAAAGTGAAAGAAACAGGAGAAAACAAATTCTAACTCGCAAGAGCTGATCAGATGAAACATATTAATCCTAAGTTCGTTTATGTTCATCTTTCTTTATAACTTTTCTTCCAACAACAACTAACACAAGAAACCGAAAATGGGGCTGAAAACGGCGAAGCAATATAAAAGAAAATAGCTTCTGATTGAGCTTGTAACTAACAGTGCCAAAAGATTAGACAAGATAAAACAAGAGAATCATAGAATTCTAAGAGTAAAAGTACTCACTTTTATATGAAGAGTACCATACTCTGTTTCCATCTCAACAACGCCCTGAATGGGATGGTACAAAAATGATCATCAACGCCAAAGAAATGTGATTGATATGATAAACTTCAACAATCAGATTTTACATTCAGTGACAAAAAGAACTAGTAAAAAATTAGTGAAACTTATATCCTATACCTCTCCTTTGCCGAAAATGATCCCAGACGTCCAACTGACCGATTTCCCTGCCTCTTGCCTATCAGGAGACAAAGTATCCTTTTGTTTCTTCAACCAACACTGGGGAAACAAAAATGATAAATATAAGATTATGGTTATCCTGATTCAAAATTTAGCAAGATATTTGCATTAACTTATGCAACGAATAGAAGATGACTAAGGCACTATGCAGAAAAATAAATTGCTCGGGTCAACTTAAAAGTGCATTTAGTAATGTGAATGTGAGATAGTTCCAGCTTAATTTCTTCAAAATGATGAACTATATAAGCCGACTTTCTTTGTAATAAACAGGTAAACAGTCTTGAGCAAATCTATTAATCATTCTATTACACTACATTAAACACAAGATAAAGCAAATCATAACCAATACTAATCTATTCACCAGGTCAACTCAAGCAACCATGACCAGAAACATCAAATGAAGCGAACGATTAAGAACAGTTAACAATAGAATACAACATTCCAGATTCACCTAAAAAGAAACCTTTAAAATCCAATAAGAAAAAGAAAACTAAGCCAAGGAAGAACTCACCTCTCCAAATCTCGACCCGCAAGCCTCCTTGTTCCCACAGAAAACCCAAGTATCGCACAAGCAAGGCCCATCATTTCCAGTACACATGGCCTTACAAGCCTGGCAACATTCCACGGAAGAATTAAACTTGAAGTCGGAGCCCCACTTCACAGCTGCACCCCACAGCTCCAAATTCTCAATGCCTCTGCAACACTCACCCTTCTTTCCCCCAAAATCAATACTGCCAGCCGATTCCAAAGACTCAAAGTTGGAATCCTCAGAATTTACGGTGGGATTCAATAGTGTAGAAACGACTGCATAGACCAGAAGACAGGAGAACAGAGATACCAAAAGGAGGACGAGAGAGGCGAAACGGGAGTGTTCCGGGTCGTTTGGTCTACGACCCATTTCAGATTGAGTGCTGAAGAGAAAAACCCAGAAAGCAATTCGGAAACTTTGGATCGTGAAATGAGAAAAGCGATTTGGATTCTCGAGAGAGCGTTGACTGTGAAAACAGGGGAGAAGCTGAGAAGAAGCACTCCTTGGCAACTACTATTATCAATTATAATTAACTAAAGTCCTTTTTGTTTGGCGTTTCTTATCAATATTATTATTATTATATTACGTAAACTACACAATTAGTCACTATTGTTTGAGAAAGTTTTATTTTTTTCACTTAAATTTAAATTGGTCACGAACATTATCGATTTATAACAAAATGGTCACTAACGTTATTGATTTGTAACAAAATGGTAACTTCACTATCATCTCCGTTAAAATGATGACATGATAATATTAATCAAAAGATAAATATTTAGTGTTATCCTTAAACTACTGCTAAAATATCAAATAGGTCATTTAACAATGATTTTATATCTAATTTACCCCAGAACTTTCTAATTTTCAAAATGAATTCTAAAAATTATAATTATAATTTAATAAATTTTTAAAAAAATTAAAACATTAAAAGTTAAAATTAAAATTAAAATTAAAAGATCTTGAAAATACTAAAAAAGTTATGAGTTTATAAAAAATTAATATCAAATATATTTTTATTACTTTAATTAACCCTAATTTTTATTATTTAGAATAATATTATTTCAAATAGACAATCATAACTGTCCAAATTGGGGTTAATTAAGATAATAAAAATATATTTAGTATTTATTTTCTTATACACTCGTTACCTTTTTAGATATTTTAATTTTTTAATATTTTTATAGATTTTTTAAAATTTATTCAAGTATAATTATAATTCTTAGATTTTTTTAAAATTATAAAATTTTGGGGGTTAAATTAGATGTAAAATCATTGTTCAAGGATATATTTGATGTTTTAGTAATTTAGGGGCAAAACTAAATATTTACCTTTTATTAATGTTGTCACATCATCAATTTAACGGATATGACGATAGAGTGATCATTTTGTTATAAATGGATAACGTTGTGACCATTTTGTTACAAATTGATAACATTAGTGATCAATTTGTTACTTTTAAAACTGTAATATAGACAATAAAAACTTACTAAAACGTTAGTGACCATTTGTGTAGTTTACCCTTTTCTATTAGTTGTTATTACAATGTAGTCTTGAGAATTTTTTTAATCAAATTGACTAAGATTAAACTTAGGATATTTAGAGAGAACAATATCTCTTTCTTCACTAAGGTCATTTAATCATTAAAACCATTTGATAGGTTGAATCTTTTTTATTTTTAAGTGGTGTGCAAAAAATATTTTGAATAGTGCCCTTGAATGTTATGTTTAGATTATTTAGTTTGAAACTTATATTTATAACATTGTTATAACAACAATTTTTAAATAGATTAAGTATTTATTTTAAACATTATTTTTAAAATTATAAAAGAAATAAAAATATAAACAAAGATAAATAAATAAATTTACTGAAAATTAGATTTGTGTTTTTATAAAAATTATGAATTTTAGCTTTTGATAAGTATATTTCAACCTCTATTGAAAAGTATTTTTAACATGAAGAGTTAATGTTCATTTCTTTTTTTTTAAAAAATTATTTATAACTTTAAAAACTTTTTTGAAAAGAAATACTACAAAACATGGTCTAGTTTTTGTAAGGAGTGGGAAATAGAATTGGTGGAGTTCACTTTCTAAGTTATGTAATAAGTTTTATTACTTTAATTTGGAAGATAAAATTTGATCTGTTTTGTTTAATTTAAGTTATAATTTTTATAATATAAAATGAAAATGTGTCGTATCATATCTATTTTTGAAAGCATGATTGATAAGGATCCATTTTATCTTACATGACATTTTTTTTCGTTTATTTTAATTAAAATATCATTACATAGAAAGAGTCCAAAAGTACTAAATTATTAAATTTTTAATGACTTAGAATAAGAGTGGATGTTTGATCGAGTTGAATTAATTTGTTTTAATTAGATAAATTGACAAGTCTTATTCTATTATTTAAATTTAATTAAAAATAGACTTAAATCGAATTTATATTTAATAAATAAAAAATCAAAAGTAAAATAATAAAAAATAAAAGTGTTGTGAAAAAAAATTAAAACTACATAATTTACTCTACATTAATTTAAGAACATATACTTTAAATTTAATCAAACTAAACTTAAATTAAATCATGCATAGGCAAACAAAGAAATAGACCAAATCATAGTCTAAAATTTAAAATTTAATATCAAATTAATTCAAATAATTTAAAATTGAAAAATAATCAAGTGAATTAATTTTGGGTAACTACACATTTAATACCTAAACTACTAACTTTGGTCATTTTAGTATCTAAACTTTTCAGCTAGTATATTTTCGACCCTGTTAACACGATTTCGACGTTCGTTTCATCGAAAAACGCCTAATCTCCCCAAATCAACGATGAACCCTTCGATTTCTTCATCATTTGATCTCTATAATCTACCGTCTTGTCGACTAGTCATTCTCTTGTGGTCCAACATTCGGATTGGCCGTCCATCCACCAGAACTATGTCATGTCAACTCGTCCATTAAGTTTTCAACGGAAATGTACTAAAATGAAAACAAAAACTAAATATTATGTAATATTTTAAAAATATCAGTTTAGATACTAAAACAGATAAAAAATGATAATTTAGGTACTTAACGCTTAGTTTTACCCATTAAATTTTATAGCCCCTAATTTAAAGTCAAAATGTTGGATGGCTGATAGCCTCAAATAACACACCCTTGTCCATACAAACTAAAAACTCACCATGATCTGAAACTGAAAAAGGTAAGTCATCACTTCTTCATCGTCATCATCAAATCCCCAAACCTCAAAAGCAAAACAGAAGTGAAAATACAAAAAAATAAAAAATGTCCATATCCATGGCCTTGTTTTCTCCTCCTCCAACACCCTTCTCTGTCAAACCCAATCTTACCCACAAATCCACTCCTTTTCTCCCTCTTAAGACACCCTTTCTTTTGCTTTCCACTCCCAAGTCTCTACCAGACAATGGAGCTGGAGTTTCAGCTTCAGTTGCTGCCGTTGAAGACTCGAAGCCCAACCAGGAAGATCCCGTCGTTGAAAAGGCCGTCGAGGGGTCTCTTGTGCCTAACGGGGTGGCTACGAGCGCTGAAGTCGAGGTTTTGAGCAAGTTTGAGGACCCTAGGTGGATTGGTGGAACTTGGGACTTGAAACAGTTTGAGAAAAATGGTCGCACCGACTGGGATGCTGTTATTGATGCTGGTAACTTTTTCATTTATAATTTACTTGCTCGTCGATGCTTAATGATTCTATTTTCATGGATGAATTGACCTATTCTTGTTTTCAGCTCAAGAAAATAAACGAATATAAAGTGTTGAATTCTCATTCTTTTCACTTTTCTGCATGTAAAACTTGAATCAATTGTTAATTTGTTTATTGGTTGCCTGAAAGGATCTTTATCAAACTAATGTGAAATACATTTTGATGTAATGAGAATTGTAGTTGAATATTTATTTCAGATTACCCTGAAAGGCAATATTTCCTTAAAGTTCTGAATGGTTAGATATTTGGTACTTGTTGGGATGGCAGCTCAAAATGCGTAAAGCTTTCTCCTTTTGTTGCCATCTTTGGTGCTCTACAACTGTGTTGTTTAGCTGAAATAGGGGGGGTACAAATGGTGGATTTCCTCAATAATTGTTTGTTCACATATGCATTAAGTTTGAGTGGTTGAGTATTGATTCTAAACAGATTTTCCATAAAGGCTGTATATTCTCAAAGTTCTGAAGGGTTAGATATGGATATTTGGTAGTTGTTATGTGCTATGGGTTTGTACTCATTTCAAGCTCTACTTCCTCATGTGAAACTGAATTAACGAAAATTATTACTTCAACAAACACTTTCTTTTGTTAAAGAAAAGCTTATGTGGGCTTGTGCTCTAGCAACATCTAAATAGAAAAGGATATTCATCAAAAGAACCCTACTTGGAGACCACCAACATGAAATCAAAGTCATTGGTTAGTGGCTAGGCCTGAAGATGAGCAAGAATCCTTTTCGTGAGTGTACTAATTGCCTCGAGTTTCTTTTTCTCTTGTGGAGTTTAACTGAGTTCCCGTGAAAAATATGCTCTTCACTGAATTCATATATATTAGCTTCATCAATGAAAGTCATTTGGGAAAAAAAGGCATAGGGTTTTAGTGTCTCCTATACATGTTTGCATTTATTAGTTTCTTCAACAAAAGTCATTAGGGGAAGAGACAAGCATATTTGTTGATTCTATCATTCATTTTGCCGTAACAAACTTGAACTCCTTCTCAGAGGTCCGGAGGAGAAAAGGGCTCCAGGATAATCCAGAAACTACCAGTAACGACGACCCTGTAGTGTTTGATACTTCCATCATACCTTGGTGGGCATGGATGAAAAGGTTCCATCTACCCGAAGCTGAATTGCTTAATGGTTAGTGCAAATCTATGTTAGTCTGATAGTGTGGCTCACGAAATCGCATGACCGGTTTGTTTAATCTCGATTCGTTTTTATGAGCTTTATGCAGGCCGTGCGGCAATGATAGGGTTCTTCATGGCGTATCTGGTCGATAGCCTGACCGGAGTAGGTTTGGTTGACCAAATGGGCAACTTCTTTTGCAAGACTCTATTATTTGTAGCTGTTTCGGGAGTGCTTTTAATCAGGAAGAATGAAGATTTAGATAACATCAAGAAGCTGATTGAAGAGACAACCTTTTATGACAAGCAATGGCAAGCAACTTGGCAAGATGACACCACTTCCAACAATGACTAGTTCAATTGCAGTTTCCTTGTCTTAACAATTCTCGTCTCTTTTACTTTTTGTTTTTCCTTTCACAAATGCTGGTTTTGTGAGGAAACAGAACTTGAAATCTGACTACTTTCAATATGCCTAGTGTGTGCTTGATATTAGCATTAATGAATATATGGCATGAAAGTTTCACCTATTGCTTTCACTCCTATTTAGTAAATCTCAGAAACAACGGAAAACTTTACGTTTATTTTTTTGGCTTAATATAAAAAAATGTCTAAATTATACATATTTTCTTCATTTATGTGCCTAATTTTTCCCCGGTAAATATATATGCCTAGTGTTACAAATGTTATTGTTTTAAGCTGTAATATTCGTTAAAAAATTATGTTATCTTACACGTGCCGCATGTGTCCATTTAATGATTTCTTGAATTCTATGCATATTTTTAGGTGTGAATAACCACCTGTGCTCTTACCCGCAAAACCTTTCTTATAACCTTGCAAATTGCTTTGATTCATTGTTCTTTTAAAGTGGTTTCAAACTTGCAAAGTCAATCTTCTCTTACCGCCACGAACCATACAATTTTGATCATTATTAGTTTGAACATGTTTTTCTTTTTTGTTATTGTTGATTCTCCGGTATGCACTGCTATATTCTACATAACCAATGAAAATGCAATTCAAAATTTTAGGATCTATTTTTATTTGCTTGGTAATGAGTTCATTATCTTGGCAATACTTTTTCACATTTTCAAATATTTTTTATAAAGGTTTATGATATTTTCATAATTCATATGGTGTCTTGTCTCTTTTCTTTCAGGGTACCTTATTTAAAAGGTAATTATCTAAAATGATAGCTTCCTCACATGTTTTGTGATAACCAAGAACTTCTTAACAAGGCATTTATCATCTCTTTTAGAGTCCGATTTTTTCGCTCGGCTCGGCTACTTCATTTGATTGAAGAGAATGTGATGGTGTTACTTCGTGAACAATACCATGCTACGAACAAAATTCATTAAACGGTTCAACGTATTCACCATCATGATCACTTCTCACCATCTTAATCTTTTTATCAAGTTGTTTTTCAATTTCTTGTTTATAGAGAATAAAATTCTCTATAACTTCTTCTTTGCTATTTTAACAATTACACATAACAATACTTTTGGTATCATCAATGAAGGTAATAAAATATTACTTCCAATAACAAATTCTATTAGACATATTTATTCATATAAAATTGAATAAAACATATTTATTCATATTGTTTCTTGTTTGAGAAAAAGTAGATCAAGTAACCCGTTAAAACAACATGAATTAAATTTCTGAAACTAGATTTATTTACATGATCCCACTTTACAAACATATCGAGATTTTCAAGAATAAATTTAATGATTTATTTCTTTTTATAAAATAGAACCATACTTGATTCTAAAGAAATAAATTGAACGATTTAATTTATTTTACAAACATAATCATATAAGATTCTACATAAATAAATTCAACAATTTATTTCCTTCTACAAAATAGAATCGTTCAAAATTTCTAAGAAAATAAATTTGAGGATTTATTTACTTCTACAAACCAGAATCATATAAGATTCACAGTTACAAAATTGAATCATTCAAGAGTCCAAGAAAACAACTTCAACGATTTATTTTTCTTTTACAAAATAGAATCATTTATGATTTATTTTCCTTACAAAGTTAGAATCAACGCAAGATTATAAGGTAAAATAAATTCAATAATTCATTTTCTTTTTCCAATGTTATATCTTCTGTTAAACGACAAAATTTGTTGCACTAAAGTCCAACACATATATATCAAGACAATTCAATTTTGCTTAACTAGAAAGAAATGAACTAATCATTTGATTTTAAATTTGGTAACCCAATATTCAAAAGCTTTGAATTAAACTTCGAATATATTTGTATTTATAATTATATTACCAAATAATACCATAACATATAAAGAATTACATTGATTTTTTATTTTCAATTTTATTATCAGACAAAATCAATGTTCTGAAATAAAATCAGTAATCAATGTTACTTTAACGACAATTTCTATTAAATAGATTTGTCCATTTTGAGGTTAAACAAATTCGTTAAAATGGCATGATAAATCCCGAAAATAGATTTATTTGTTATCTCGATTTTCCCACGATTTTCGAATCATCCCAAATTAAAAATAAAGGTTGAAGAAAAGAAATCTATCTTATGATTTTTAAACAAAATAATAATCCGAGATGAAAATCAAACTTGAGAAACAACAACGATTCTTTTAACCACCGATGTAAGTTTGTTCATGCTTATAAAGCATTAGATAATCACCAAAGTCATTCTATAGAATTTATCAAATTATGGTCGATAGGACAAACATTATTAAGGACAGAATTGAGAAAGAAGCAGAGGCAAGAGGGACTTGCATTTGTCTTCAAAAGTCGACATTTGACATTTTTTTATGGCCTTGAGCAATTCGTAAAACAATTTAGGATTTAAGCTCTTGCTTCCACCAAGGAAACAAGGACAAATGGAGCTTCGGTTAACACTTCTACTTGACAGAGACTCAGCGCTCATTCAGTGACAAGAAGCAATAGCTGAAATTACTTGAGTTGCAGCAATGGGTGAAAATACAGTATGTTCTAAACACTTTCTGTGTTTGGAGAAAAAGAATTGAACAGTCACAAGTTGTTCCGAGTGTTTAAACACAATGATACTTTGAGGTTGAATTGTTCAAGGCTTAAGAGGCAAAGCAATCAAGAAGAGAAAAGAGAAAAAACAGTGGTTCACATTAGAATTCCAGTCCAATGGAAAAGACCAGAAAAGTTTTTGGCATTGGATATTAAACAACGGCTTAATTAAGAAGAGAAAATGAGCAGGAAATCCATCAAGAAGGCTGAGGTTTGACTTGAAATTCAGGTGAACAAAGCGATGGAAAAACAATGCCAATTTCATGCCGAATATGAAACTGGCCGGCATTCAATAACCTACACTCTGCAATTCCCGTGTCCAGTATAATTCAGTCTCAATATGCTGTAACTTTGAACAAGAGTCAAAGAAGATATAATAAGAAACTACTTGATTCAATAACAAACTCAACTTTGAAGCTTTACATGGATTGAGCAAAAGTGTTCTAATTAATATGCAAAATATAAAAATGTTTTATCATTGTCTCTAACATACATCCCATTTTGTAGACTTAATATTCATATCCAATAGTTACAGTTGGAGAACTTCCTTAATAATGATTTACTATCTAACCTATTGTAACTATTGGCATAGGGAAAAAGGAAGTAAAATGCTCATGAAAAGACTCAACCTACTATATTTTTTAAATATTATTAAATACGCACGCACCACCGTCTCTGCCCGACTTGTACAATTACATTTTTCGACATACACCTTGTTCTTTCGGAACAAAATTCATATAATTTTGTTTTATATTTTGGTCTCTATATTTCTATCTTCAGGAGTTCCGAACCACACGAATCGCTTTTGAAATGTGTTTCTCGCAAAAAAATGCCTTTCTTACATGAAATCAAAGGATGCTAGATTGAAAAATAATCTCGATTGAGTGTCGGATTGGGAAATTATTTTAAAATGGGTCGAGTAAAAAAGCCAAGAAAACCATAAAGATAACAAATATGCTAGAATTGCAGTGAGGGCGATAAATAAATTTTAACCACGGGAATTGCCCAACATATGAACATGTTATCCATTTGACGCACCAACCATAAAAAAGATGCAGAAAACGACAAGGCACATCTTTTTTAGGTATATTACTATGGTGCTTCAGTACAAAAAGCAAGAAAACAACTTGTATTGATCATCCCAAACTTCATCTTTCTTAAAGGGAGAAAAAAAAGATCAGATGAGCAAAACTTTCCCAGCTACTGTTTTACCATGATTTAGTCACGCCTCTTCTTCTTCTTCTCACTCTTCTCAGCTGAATTTTTCAACTGAAACAAGTAGGTTCCATATTATTTCGGGTATATCGGAACAACATATATATGTCCAAAATGCTTAAGAAATCAAAAAGAAAGTCCAGCCAGATATTCTAGCTTGACTTACCATAATTATCAGAATGCGGGCAAATACAGCAACAAAATCAGTGAAAAGGGTAAGGGCATGCTTGACATAGTCGAGGTCACCCAAGTGAGCCTTCTCAATTATGTCCTGAGTGTCCACTACCATGTAACCCACAAACACCAAAAGGCCAAAGTAGATCTGGAAGAAGAATCAAATTCCGCCCGAGGAATGTCAATCAAAGCCACTAGGAGTTTTTCACGTACTACTACAAGACGAACTATATGACTAATATCACTCACCTCAAACATGAAGAGGGCTGTGGAACCACCAAAGATGGAGGAAGCAAAATGCAACCAGAGAAGCATAGACACACCAGATGAAAGCAAGCCAACAAGGAAAAGGTACTCTTGGCGCTTTGCTAACATAGCAGCTCCAGAAAAACATGCAAAGGCTAATGCTGTTCCCACAAATGCAGCTACCAGAACACTGTCATAATGCAACAACACAATAAGCACAATTCATTATTTTTCTTTATTTATTGATTGTGGAAGGGAAGAGAACACAATTGGTCACCCATCCAAAATGAAATTTACAAGTGTAAATAAGAGTAGAAGTAAAATAAAAATTAAGCATAATCATTCATCACTAGAAAGAGCGCCCCCTAACCTTTAAAAGTGTCCACTTAATCATACGTAGTATTTCAATTTAGGAAAGAACAAAACCCTCGGCAATATTAAATATGATTGCAAACACTATTCCAAACCTAAGTACTTCCATGAAATTGGGTATATTATTATTTTATTAATAATACATAGATTATTCATTGAACAGTGTAAGAGAAATACCTTGGGTCAATCTGAATGGCCAAGTCAATCAGAGGACCAAATGAAGCCCCTTCAAACACCGCGGATGCCGTCAAAAGAGAAACTCTCTTTTGCTGCAAATGTTTCAATACCAAAAGCAACATATGAGTTCTAAGCATGCACAAAGGACCATAATATTTCAAGACAAATCAAGATAGACTATTTACCTCTTGATAAGGAGGGATAGAGAGGAGCCAAATTATGGTTCCAAAGCTTGCAAATGTTGTGAGGTAACCTCCAATGTTCCAAAGGATATGAAGATAAGCCCCAACAGCAGAGCCAACCAGTGCACAGCATAAGGTCAAATAAACCTGCCAAATAAAAACAGTTCAGTTCAGATAATCAAGAAAACAAAATTCGGAAACAGAGAACAAGAAAATAGATAAATTTATCATAAAAATTAGAATCATAAGAAATAGCTAACTTTTTTTTCAGATTCAGAACCGAGGAAAGATGGAATCCAAAAACAAGTAAATTTCCGAAACCCTAAGTTACAAAATAGGGGGCATATTCAAAAGAAATGAAAATGACAGAAAATTGAATTGAAAGATTACCCTTTTGAGATGCGTCTGAACGATGGGGGAAATGTGGCGGAAATTCTTGAGAGTATCGTAACTCCAGTTGCTTCTCGATTGAGAATCGAAGAACGCGTCCATTGTCTGCTGAGAGAGAAAGCAACAGAAATTGTAAATATTGTTCGGCAGAGAGTAAGAAACCGCCTTGGTATATTGTATTAAGATCGTTTATATTTGTGGATCGCCGACATTTCAAGTGTCTCGTTTCAGATACTTTCGCGGAAATTTCTTGATGGCTAAATTACTAAAAGACCCTTGTAAAAGATATATATGGTAAACTACACCTTTAGTATTTCAACTATCACTTTGGTCACCTATTATTTGTTTCAAAATCATACGTTTTGGTTTCATTTTGGTCAGCCACTATGAAAAAATTAATGGTTATGCTGATGTGTCACTATAAGGTAATGTAACATCATCATTGATTTTTTTTATAAATATCACGTCAACACTTTTGTTATTTTTTTAAATAGTAAGTGACTAAATGAAATTAAAATGCAACGTTAAGTTAATTTTGAAACAAAAAATAATTAGGTGAATAAAACAAAACAAAAATGATAATTGAGATACTGAACATATAGTTTACCCTATATCATTATGTATTGAAATTGAAATTTCTCTAAGCTTGGCTACAGCCTATAAGAGGAATTCTTCCTTTATTTAGTAACTTAGAATACAAAATAATCTTTAAATTTAACAAGTTTGATTAAATTAGTTTTTAATTTAAATTAATCTTAAATATATTTTTAGGTCAAATTAAATTCTTATAGTAATTTATAAGTTTAAAGGATTCTTTGAAAAAATTAAAAAAGGTTTAAGACTCAATTTAATTGAACTTATTAAGTTGAGGAATTCTTTTGTATTATAAGCCCATTTATAATTAGTATTAAATTTAAATTTTAAAATATGAAATGATAGTTAATCAATCGTAAGAGAATTTGTAATGTTTTAAAATTGGCAACCAGCTAAGAACTGATATAAAGTTGATTTTTTTAAATGAAAGAATAGATTGGAGAAAAGCAAAACTCGGAAAATTCGAGTAGATGATCAATAATCACAAGTTAATCTACTTAAACTGCATTATCGGTTTTCAATAAATGAATATTTTTCTGTATTACTTTAAAAAAACTACATTGTCGGTAAAGAAAAATCAGCGTGACATAAACTAATAGAATGTTTATATTTAGGGTTTGTTTGTTTGCCGTAAAATGAATTACGAAATTGGTTTTCCTCGAAATCCTGTGTTTGTTTCACGTAGTTCGTTTTTTGGAAAATGTTTTCCGTGTTTATTTCACATAATTCGTTTTTCGAAAAATGTTTTCCAGTATTTGGTTGGAGGAAAACTGGTTGGTCAACGTAATTCATTTTCCTGGTCAACAGAATTTCCTTTGTATTTTCTGAAAAATGACTTACTGTTTGATTTTTCGTAAGTCATTTTCCGAATTTTTCACTTCAAAAAATAAATACTCAAAATAATTTTATTTTATGAATTTAATATTAATAAAATATTTTAATATCATTTTCATCAAAATATTAATTATTAAAATATTTAAAATATATTTATTAATATTTATAATAATATTATATTATATTTTTAATATTATAGTAAAATAATCAATTATATTATAATAATATAAGATATTATATTTTTATTTTAATAAATATATATTATATTTTAATATATTTAATAATGAGTAATATTATTTATATATTTAATATTAATATAATAATCTAATAATATTTCAATAAAGATATTTAAAATATACTAATTAATATTTTTAAAATATAATATAACACTATTACTTTAATAAATAATTAATATAATTTATAATATTTTTATTTCACTAAAATATACCAATATTAATATTTTTATTAATAAAATTATAAAAATTATATTTAATAATAAATAAATTATTTTAATATTTTAAAGTAATAATATTAAGTTTTATAATAAATAATATTATTTATTGTATTTAATATTTATAATAAATAATTTTTAAAAAACTCATCAACTAGTGGAAAAAATGTTTAAATAACATCTTCCAAACATCATAAAATGTTTTCCACATGTTTTTAGAAAAATGTAATTCATTTTACGGAAAATATTTTCCGGAAAACGTTTTCCAGAAACGTAATTCATTTTCCAGAATTTAAATTTCAGTAATTCAAATTCTAGTAATTCAAATTCTAGTAATTGATTTTCCAGAAAATCAATTACAGCCAAACAAACAGACCCTAAATGTAAATTAAAAATTTAAGTGTTCAACGAACTTTATTTCCCCTATGTAGAGCCCCAGCATTGAACCTTTTCCTGTCGATAATGTATGTGTATTCCCGTATGTGGCACAGACGAGGATATATACATATAATTTAGAGTGAACACATATGTTAATAATATAAATATTTTGTAGTAAACACAATTAGTAAAATAAATAAACTAAGTATTAAAGAAAATTCGAATTCAGAGTCAGAGAGAATGAATGAGTGAAAATTCTTTGCGTAGTAAAAGGTTAAAGTTTAACCCAAGGAATAGGACAAGTATCTCTCTCTTTTCCCCTTTCATTTTATTTCCCATATTCTTCAGCATGGCCAATTTTAATTTGGCAATGATGATGCATGCATACATATTATATTTATACATCAGGGAATGAGGATTCACGAGTATGTAACTTGGCAACTTCTCCTTGTATGGGGAAAGAACTTCAGGCCTATTCCCATTAAACCAAATTTTTTCATCCACACACACCAAACCATACCTTGTGTCTAAAACATTTACTTCTCTGTTCAACCATACACTTTTCCATTAAACCAAAATAAGAAATTAACAATTTATTCATAACATATCAACTTATGAATTGAATGAAAATACCTTCGGAAAAAGCACTAATACGGTAAAGATTTAAGAAAAAATACATAAAATTAAAGGAAATTTGCACTCTCCATCCAACAGTAACATTCAGCATTGTACAACCAAGTAGACAAAATTACTGGTTACCATACTTTATAAAGGGGCATCTATCTTTCTTCTGTAGACGAATCTACAGATGTGGATGCTGGTGGCGGAAATGGTGTAAATGAATCTACATATGGTGGCACTGGGGGTGGAAATGGTGTAGATGAACCTAGAGATGGTGGTGGGGGTGATAATGGTTATGATGACAATGAAAGATTCAACACAAACCCACATAATATCCCTATCAGTCCCACAACAAATGCATATATTAAGGGGAAGCCGGAGTCATTCCTACGTTGTCGTCGTCTCTTCAGAAAATCCTGTTTCAGCAAAACAGGAGTGTTTACTTATCGATCACAGCTGCTGTAGTAAGTTAATGTTGTACTTCAGAATATAAACTAGAAGAAAATCATGAGTAAGTTTGGCCTTCTTTTTTCTGGCTTCTCTTAAACTGTTAAGTTGAAGACTTTCTGTGGATGATAAGGGTTTAGTGGTTCGGATTGGCAATCTGAAACCCAAACATACCAGTTCCTGTTGCAGCTGCAGTGTTTGCCGAACGGCTGCATCTCTTTCATCCTTCAGGTGCTGCACATTCTGGTTCATGAATGCAAAAAAGGAAATGTAAAAATGAAGACATAAAAATCAGATTCTGGGTTTTCATTTTCAAGTTACCTTCACCAGAAAATAGCAATCAAGTAGAAGGCAAAAACAGAAAGCTTATAACAATCAGTTATGCAAATGCAAAAAACCAGACGTGTCTGCAAGGAACTCAAATTATGAGCATACATAAACCAGACAAGATTAATGTCTTCTTCTTTTTTTATAGGAATTGAAGGCCTCGTTAAAAACCTCCTTCATGATTAAAGGAACTTATAGATAAGCTTCTTAATCAGCGGGAGGAGGAAAAGAGTGCCTTAAGATTTCATTAATCATTAGAAAATACAAGATACAACCTGAGAGCCACCCCCAACATAAACATAACACCAAAAGCAGCCGCAAACAACCCTAAACAACAACATAGACTCAGCCTAATCCAACTTAGCAACAACATTAGCCTAAAAAACAGACTGACTATACTAAAAGCCTAAACGTGGCCTGAAAGACGCCACAAAGATTAATGTCTTCTTCATTCAAACAATGAATTGTAGATCAAATAAAACCAGGCTTCAAACATAATTGATACCACAACCGCATTAAAAACAAATAGGTTGGGAGGAAAGCTTTGAGTTGCTTATATCAGTACTGATTTCTAGGCCTATTCCAATCGTCCGGTCAATCAACTGAACCTTTACTGGAAACCTCAAATTGTATGTATGTGATTGTGAGGTTAAGCGATTGCAAGCATGTGCATATAAATATTGCATAAAACAAAAAAAATAATAATAACTAAACAGATTAATGACTAGACTCACGGAGTTTGAATCAGTGCCTTTTTCTGGATAGCTTTTAAACCCTTCATCATCTGAATTTCCTCGAGTGGAAGGAGTTACATAGAAAACTTTAAGCTTGCACTCCTGTATCTCCCTAGTGCCATCCTTATTAAACTGAATGCAAAGACAAGGATGCAATTCCAAATATCATACAGAACTATGATTGGTAACATAAATGTAGGTAATGAAAAACATTATTCTCGCTGACAGTATTCTTACAGTATCAGCCGGGAGATCATCCACATCAGTATTTGAAGGGACTACGGTACTTTGTAGAAGAAATTTGTCTTTGCATTGCATATCTGGAGGATATTCCCGTTGAGCTTGGAGAGTGACTGGCATTCAAGCAGAAAAACGAAAATCAATATCACCCATATGAGAATCTCAATGAACCAAGAAAAAGCAATGGATGGAAGCAGATTGTGAAAATTTTAATTTATGAGATGGTGTTAGGACGGAGCGGTTTATAGATAAAACCTCTAATGACAGATGAATCCAGAGGCTGTACAACACCGGTATTTGGTCGCACAAAATACTTCTTAGGTGAAGTCGTTTTAACCTAACATGATAATGAATTGAGAGAATTAAAATCACACAAACATAAAAATGTCCCAGAACGGAAAAGAGAATCCACATAACAAGTATTCGGATGCATTTGCAATGGTAACAGAAACTCTGTTTACCTTAAATGCCACATGGTGTTCTGTGTTGTTCACCACTTTAAGATCACAAAAGCTTGGCTTTTCAAGCTCAACTGAAAACACGAACAGCACAAACAAAAGGTAACTAAAACTTAAAATTTGTTCCACAAAGCTTCTCAAGAATTAACAAAATGCCAATGACATGAAGATTACGATCACAATGACATTTACTCTCAAGCATTTCAAATAAACCAGAATCTAAAACCGAAATTAAAACTAGCTAAACATTGATGAAATGTTAAAAAGATTAAGAACTATTAAATAAACTGCTTTTCTTTTCCTAGCATCCTCTAAAGAAGATTATGTCTTCACAAATTAAAATTCACTGTGGCTCTGGTTGGAAGAGATGCTGAATTGGTATGTGCTAGAATCCAAAAAAATTGGCAATGATGACAATTCGAGATCAACGGAATGAAGTAAAGAGATTAATTAAATAAATCAACATATATGTCACTAGAATCTCCACAAATCTAAATCCATAAAATTGTCAAAAAAAATAATAATCTCCAATGCATTGCATCCCTACCAATCATCAACAGAAATTCAACACAGCATTGATCTTTAGCACCTATGCATCCAATGGGACTCTACATTTACAGTTTCACGATACATAAGAATTACATGTGTGCATAGAAGCAGGAATGGACCGAGGGGGCGGTTGGCCCCAGAAAATTTCAAATTATCATATAATTTAGATTTTCTTTCTTCGTATTGATGATCTGTTATCGGCCTTAGAATTTTATAAATTCTTCCCCTTTCAAATTTTAAAAATTCGCACCTAACTTAAAATCCTAAGAATGTCAGTGCATACAAGTATAAACATAGATAGGGTGGAACTTACAAACGAACTTGAGGTCATTGGGTTGAACAGAAATCAACTGATTATTCCCATCAGCAGTCATGACTGGGTCCACCAACCTCCACCGCCAACACTAGATCTTCACTCTCTTAGGAAAAAGAGAAAACAATCAATCAAAAAAAAAAAAAAAGAAAAGAAGAGAGAGAGAGATGAATGATAAATCTTCAAACAGAACCCACAAAACATAGAAAAACCAATTATCCAACAAAGGTTTCTAGTTTTGTTTTGTTTGAAGAGAGAGGAATTGAGTCAATATTAATGAGCGGAACTAACATGTGGTGCAAACTGCAACTTACTCGGACTAAATCCGAGCCTTCTTCTTTGGTTTTTCCCTTTTTTCTGTTGGGTTTGGTAAACGGATTCACCGAAATAGCCGCCACCAAAGCTGGAGTCCTTCAAGTTGGAGAAAGATTTCAAGTTTCCTTTTTATATATAATGCATTTTAGATATATTTTAAAAAAATGGTATGGAGGTTTTGTTCAACCTGGTAATGGGTGCATTTTCCATGGATAGATGGAAGAAGGGATGTTGACAGGTGTCAATTCAATAGGGTTCATCGACGCGGGACTCTATTAAGTCACCTCTTACGTGTCACTTCAATATTATCAGATCTTTCTTCTAAATGCTTAGGTAAATGTTTAGGGTATTTATTCATCCAATTATTCACATAATATTATTTCGGTCACTTAATTATTTTTTAAAATAATATTTATTTTTATATTTTAGTTTTATTTTATTAATGATGTATAATTATAAAATAATTTTACATAATTATTGAAAAAATTAAAATATTTCACGTTAACGGTTCTATTTATTTTATAGTAATAAGTGTCTAAAGTGAAACTAAAACGTAACGTCAAATATGATTTTAAAAATAAAAATAATTGGATGAACAAAATAAAATTACATGAATAGTTGGATGACTAAAATTACATGAATATTTTTCTAACATCATCCTACTATTCTATTTAAAATTTGAATTTTCATCATATATTTTAATTTTTTATGTAATACAATTTTATAATATAATGTCATCGGCGTTAAAAAATTGAAATACATTCAAATGTTAATAAAAGTTTTGAAGACCAAATTAGAAAATGTTGATAATTTTTTGGACTGGATGTTTAATATTTAAAAGAATGTTAATATTTTTATGTTTTTCTAAAAGAAAATCTAAGAACTAAGTTATATTTCTTTGAGATGACATTGTTTAATGTTTTTGAAAAGGCGAAATGGTCATTTTGGTTCCTCAATCTTATTAGTTTAGATATATTAATCCTTAAAATTTTATTTAATTTTTCTGTCTTATAATTTTATTATATTTTTGTCTAATTAACTTTTTAACACAGTAAAATAGTAACCAACTGTTAACCGGCAGGCAACCTACACTAGACTTGTGTGCCGATGCGGACTCCGATAAGGCGATAACCCACACTTTTAGCACATTTGGGTAAATTATTCTTTTGGTCCCTCTTCCTTTGTATGTGTTATAATTTAATCTTAATTTCACTTGAATTAATTTAATCCTAATTTTTAATCAACCAAACTAATTTGGTTTTCAATAATTAACTTAACAGTTCATAATTATAATATATAACAAATAAAATTGATTGTATTCTACTTAAATTAAAATTTATCTTAATACCGATTTAATTCTAATTCTTTTTACCGGATCGTTAACCTGCAATCTATTTTTTTATAATTATCATAATCTATGTACTATTCATTAAATTGTTATCAGGTAAACTATTACAAACCTGTTTTAAGCATAGTTTATACCAAAATACTATTAATGGCTATATACATGCCAACTAGAAAATCAAAATACATCAGAAAGATGTCATTACTGATACTGAAGATATACTCCTCGATAGGTATGATTTCGAATACTCCTAAACTCCGACTTCTGCTTTTTACATACACATGAAAGTCATCACACGCTAAGTATACACTTAGTGACACAATTATAGTAATAATCAATGCAATACAACACAAAAATAAAAATAAATAAATAACAATATTAAATGCATTATGATACTTTAGTTGTATTTCAATCATGTTACCATATATTAACATGATATAAACCACATATAAAATTTCTTAGCAACATACTTGTCATTCATTCCAAAAGTTCATAAGCTTGTTCACATGCTTATCATTTAATAACCAATAAACCATAGCCCAAATATAAGCCTATGAAAACCTTGGGTACACGAGTCAAATATGCACCGAAGTGCTAATACACATAAGGTTGTGCCCCCCATAATACACATAAGGTCGTGCCCACCATATGCACTAAGTGTCCTTTATATACACTATAGTGCTAAATCAAATATGCAACCTGCTGCTGGACTCTATGGCATGCCAACTATACCACTGTCCCTCCATGACATACATGTGCATATAGTCTATATTTATTTCATCAATGGCAATTTATATCAACATAATTCAATATTGGGCAATTCATACCCGAAATAACATCCACTATAAATAACATCCATCATAAATAACTAGAGATCAATGCATTTTATATTAACTTTTGACATATTCATAACATGTCAAATATATGATTAATGACATAGATATCATGTCAATATAAATAAGGCACACTCATCGCAAGTCTTCTTAATGATGTATAAAACATCCATGTATTACGTTATGTATGTATTGCACTCACTTTGACACTTTTTATACAAGTCAAAATACAAGTCTCACTAAGCTTTAAGATCATTTTTCCTTTCTTTTGTTGCTAGTTAGATCTCGGTTTTGATTGATGTCTATAAATACATCAAACATATAACACAAATAGTCAAAAGCACATGTTAGAATTCATCTAACCCATGCACATATAGTGTAGGAAAAAATCATAATATTCATTCCAATACAACGTTGTAATTACAATGTTTCCTACACTTCATTTTCACCTTAACTTACTTGAATTCACCTTTAAAATCACAATTTCACCTTAAGCCCTTATTTGTCTCTTTTAGGCTTTAAGGAATAATCATAAAAATTTCACATTTCAATTTTAATTCCAATAATTTAATCATTAAATTAATCATTAAAAGATAACAAATATCATAAATAAGCCACTTAAATTTTCTTATAAATTTTTCCTTAAGAAACCCATATGACCTAATATAATGCATCACATTCTAAAGTGTTTTCAAGTTCCAAACAACACATTTAAACATGTATTGTAATTTTCTACCATAACCTTCATCAAATTCAAACTTTTGAATATAATTCCAAATTTTTTCTTAAAATGTCGTTTTGGTCACTATTAAGATTCAATCATTCTTTCTCATTTTTCAAGCTTGAATAAACAAGCTAACACATAAAACATAATATTCTCATCATATCTAACATAAAAATTAATTCAAAACATCAACCCTTAACTTTTCATATTTTCCAAATGGATCCCTAAAGGAAAACTAATGGATTTTTCATTACTTAGAACATGAAATCAACATCACAACACTTATATCATCATTTTCAAGTCTTGAAACCTCAAATTTCATCCCTTCATCCATCATTTTCATAAATTTAGGGTTATAAGCATGAACAACATGAACAAATGGTACCAAATGAAAGATAATTCAACGGAGAACAAAATTAGGTTTCATGTTTTAACCTTAAACCTAACTCAAAAAGCTTAAAAAAATACTTATGTTTTTGATGTACTTCACGACAGCAGTAGATTCAAGGGCGAATTTCTTGAAAAATCACCCTTATAATCATTATTTTCCCGTCAGACACCGTTTCCACTTTATTTCCTGATCTAACACCCTTTATAGGAAGTCACAGCTCCTACATCGCGCCTTACGCTGATGTGGCGCTAGGGGTAAGGCGTGCACCCTGAAACGCGCCTTGCGAAAGGTGTAAAAAATTTGGGTGTTAATTTTGTAAATATTTTTAAAATAGTACCTAATATGTAATTAATTTTTATTAAGGTGATATTTATGTAAAAAAGTCAACTTTATTTATTTTTTTGGTAAAAAAACTTTCTACCTTAAAATCTTTAAATTTTCTTTTGTAAATTATTTTATAACTCGATAAATTTTGATTTTTGTATAAAATTACACAATACGTATAATCTAGTATAGGAAAACTATGAGGGTAAGTATTTTAAAATATGAATAATTTTATAAAAAATTTATAACTAATATTTATTTTACAAAATGATGATGATGATGATAAATATTTTATAATTTAAAAATTATAAATTTCATATATTTTTGAAAATTTTATTGACTTTTAAAATTAATTGTTTAAAAATATAAAAAATATTAAAATAAACTTTTAATTACATTTGAGGGATCAAATGAATAATTATTCATTAATTATTATTTTTAACAACAGTTAATAATGTTTATTCATTTTTAATAAAATTATTTTGATTTTTGCATGAAATTACACAATACATATAATCTAGTATAGAAAAACTTTGAAGGTAAGTATTTCAAAATATGAATAATTTTATAAAAGTTTTATAACTAGGATTTATTTTACAAAATGATGATGATGATAAATATATTATAATTTTAAAAATTATAAATTTCATATATTTTTGAAAAGTTTATTGACTTTTAAAATTAATTGTTTAAAAATATAAAAATATATTAAAATAAGCTTTTAATTACATTTGAGGGATCAAATGAATTATTATTCATTAATTATTATTTTTTAACAACAATTAATAATGTTTATTCATTTTAATAAAATTATTTTGATTTTTGAATGAAATTACACAATATGTATAATCTAGTATAAGAAAACTTTGAGGGTAAGAATTTTAAAATATGAATAATTTTATAAAAGTTTTATAACTATTATTTATTTTACAAAATGATGATGATGATGATGATGATAAATATTTTATAATTTAAAAAGTATAAATTTCATATATTTTTGAAAAATTTATTGACTTTTAAAATTAATTGTTTAAAAATATAAAAAAATATTAAAATAAACTTTTAATTACATTTGAGGGATCAAATGAATTATTATTCATTAATTATTATTTTTTAACAACAGTTATTAATATTTATTCATTTTTAATAAAATTATAATTTAATATTTATTTTATGTTTTTTAAAATTAATATTAGAAAGAATATTTTAAATAAAGAGGTGATATTTTTTTATCTTTACATTATTTTTTTTATTGAATTTTAATATTTTTTAGCTTTACATTCTTTTTTTATTGAATTTTATTCACTTTCAATTATTTTTTATTGTATTTTTATTGATTTTATATAAAAAAGTGAATAATAATTCATTTAATCCCTCAATTGTAATTAAAAGTTTATTTTAATATTTTTAAATAATTAATTTTAAAAGTCAATAAACATTATTAACTAGGGTTAAAAAATAATATGACACAAAAAATAAACAAAATAAAGTTAGCTTTTTTACACAAAT